TCTTAGCTCCTCTCTTAGCCCTGTGTGTCTCATTTCCCTTAGAACCAAGATTTTCCCAGCCCTTCCCTCAGAACAAGGCTGACTGATTAGCCTCACCCCTGAATTGGCAGCATCTGGAGCAAGATCTTTCCTGGTAGTGCCCTTTGAGGGACTGCTCTATTTCTTGTCCCCTACACTCAGCTCTGGTAGAAGAACAGTCTGTTCTTCCCAGGATGTCCCTGTGTCCACTGAAGCTACAGAAACTCAAATTAGAATCCATGTTTTACCCTTGAAGGACCAGAGGCTCAGAGGAGGATAAGCAAACAGCCCCAGTTGCACAACTAATGAGACCATTTGCTTTCACAAGCAAGTTGAGGAAATGTTGAAGAAAAACAAGAGAAAGTTCTTACCCTAGCTGGGAGAGGGCTGAGTCAGCATCACCTAGAAATCAAGAGGACCCATGTATGATCCCTAGAACCCATACAAAAAAGCCTAGGCTTGATGTATTCTCAGCAGGGACAGGCAGCCAGCCTAACCTAAAGAGAGGTTTCCAGGTCAATGAGAAAGCTGTCCCACAAGTAAGGGGGATGGTGTCCTTGAGGATAGGCACTCAAGAGCATCCCCTAATTGCCACACACTTGTACACACGCATGTTCTTGGGTCCACACACATGTGCACCCACACACATATAGACCTGCCTAGATACATGAACACACATGATGAACAGGAACAAACGCAAACACACAAATGAGCTTTAGGTATAGCACAGGGGTCAGGTACCCCTTTCTGTAAAAGGTCAGAGAACATATTTTGGGGTGTATGGACCATACAGTCTGTCTCAACTCCTTAATTCTGCAGTGCTAGTGTGGAAGCAGCCATTGGAAACACAGATGAGCGCTCTACCTGTGCGCTAATGAGATTTTATTCCCATAAGAAGCAGGTGATTTCCGAACTTGACTCATGATCTATGTTCTATCAACTGCTTGACTGCTAACAACAACAACAAAACAGGAGGATTAGGGAGATGCATTGATGTGTGATTAATATAAGGTTAGCGAATCAAAGGAAAGATGACTTGTTTATATGTCTTTGAAAATATAAGGCAGGGGTAACCGGGAGTCACAGAAGGTGATCATGTGAAGTATTGCCTTCAGTGAGGTCTAAAGATGAGGAGCCATGCCTTAAGGAAGAAGCGTGGGGAAGGAAGAAGTGTCCCCAAATGATCCTGTTCAAATGTCCTGTGGTTACAGGGACTATGAATCCTTTTAGGTAGTGAAATCAGGTTGTTAGGCCAAGGCGGGGTCACAGAAGTCAGCCCAGATCCTAAGCTGGCCGAGTCCAAGGGACATGGAGGTGGTCTCATCCCTCGGAATGAAGGAAAGCCCCACTTCTTGTGACAAGATACATGAAATTTCTAGCTATTGATTCTACTGTTTCCAGCCAGAGAAAAGAACAGCATCCAGCCTTTGGGTGCAGCCAAATCCAGTCTCCAGACCTCTGGACTTAGGTGTAGCTGGGCTCCGTTTCTTTCTAGCCTTTCAGTTCATGCTTACCAGCTAATAAATGTTCTCTTTGCGCCACCTCCAGAGAGTCACGTCACCCTCTTCATTGGCGGCCATGACTCCAGCACATTTCTCTCACCTTTCTGCCTCCCTCCCTGCCCCGATCCCCCACTAACTTTGTAAAACTTGCAAGTTAAATTTTTCAAAGACCGTTTCTGACAAAGCAGTGGGAATTAGATTTGGTGAAGCCCTTCATAAAAAATTGAAGGCATGCTATATTAACATACATTGATTTATTCATAGTGTTTCATTACAAGTAAGTGAGGATCCTGTAATACCAGGAAAGGTTAGGAGAGCAGGGGAGCGTGGTACATTATATTGACAGCTCCGTCGAAATTGAGTCACTTTTGGATTGAATTTGGAGTTCAGGAAAAGAGCTGGCCTAGTAAATAAGGCATGAGCTTTCACTCCGAGTGTCTGTATATCAGAGCCATTGCCGCCAGCCCAAGGCAGGGTCACTAGGACCGATTTTTAGGAAAATACAAAGACATCTCCTTTCCACTGGTGCACCGGAGTCCCTGGCCTCAGGCACGCCTCTGAGCATCTCCCTCTTCTGTTGCTAGGAAACGGGAGTCCAGTTGTACACTTTTCTTCACTTGCCCTCTGCACTGGACTCACCCTGGGCTTCTCTCTATGTGAGCCTTTCCCCACTGCAGGCCCTTTCCCAGCCTATTGTCTCTGCCTGGACTCTGCAGAGCTTTTCCCTCGGCTGCGACTCCATTCCACCTTCAGGTTCAGATCTTTTCTCTCCTAAGTAAGGACTGAGCATTGCATCTTGATTCAGTATTGCTCAGACGCAGGCTCTAAGCCGATGATTTGATGCTCAGCAAGTGATTGGGAAATGTAAGAAGCACCAGTTTTAAACAAGAAAAGACAGGGACAGGAAACAGAAAGCAAGACACACACACACACACACACACACATATATACATAATATTTTACATACACTATTATTCTACATACCATATGTAGATATGTATCACATAAATTATAATATATATTATAAATAATAAAATACATATTTGCAATGAATATTGTAAATAATATGTATATATTTACAATATATTGTAAACAAAACATATATACAAAATATATTGTAAATAAAACTTTATTTTAATTAATTATTTTATTTGTGTGTGCTTGTATGCACATGCATGCACGTGTGCCATGGCATACATGTGAAGATCAGAACATAGAGTAAGTACAGCTAAATCCCAAGATTTATCATTGGACCTAGGGAATTAATGTAGTCACTGAGAGGGCCCCAACCAGAAAAGCATGGAGAGTTGGGGCCCTACAAACTTCTGAGCTTGGGTTGGAAAGATGGTCCCATCAGAGCATCCTAAAGCTGCTAGCCACCTGTGGATAGATGTGCATGTGTAGACTCTGCTTCTGAAAACCCAGGTTATCAACTCTTGGAGTTTCTCTCCCTGGGCTCACCCTGAGCCTAGTCAAGACTAGCCTCTCTCGTTAAACACATGGCACCATTGCTACGTCACAACTGCCTCATACAAGAAATCACTCTTCCTCCAACATGGTTGCTTCCTATGCCAGGGATAAGAAACCGTTCACTTTCTTAATAAAAAATACATGCCTCCTCTTTGTTCTGGTTTGCCTGTTCTAGAAGCATGGGAAAGGTTTTTTTTTAATTTAAATGCTTGTGTGTGTGTGTGTGTGTGTGTGTGTGTGTGTGTGTGTGTATACAGATGCTATGCTGCACATGTGAAGGTCAGGAGACAACTTTGGAGAATTGGTTCTGTTTTCTGACCTAACTGAGGAAGGGGCTCTTGTTTTGCTGCTGCACTGCATACTCCTAGCAAACTGGCTGGTGAGCCTCCTGCCTCTGCTTCCCAGGTTGCCGTGAGAATGCCGGAATATAGATGCCCATCACCACATCCACTCCTCATGTGGGCTGCGGGCATCAGACTTGGTTTGTGTGACTAGCACTGTTGCCTGCTGAGTCATCTAGCTAGTCCTTAGCAAAGTATTTCTTAATGTACCTGGGCCATCTGTGTAATCTTGGGTTCAGAGCACTTACTTGAGTCTGGTGGATTCACCAGTGGGTTCACCACTAGAAACTCTGCCTTCCCCTCACCTGGTCTGTTAACTGACAGTATTTCAGCAGTAAGTGGTAAGGCCCAATGTGCTCCTCCCTGGTCCATAGCTAACTGTGGGCTGGGTCATTCTTTTGTAGGCCAGGTGCCAGTATTGACAACAGATATGAATTCATGAGTTTCATGGCAATGTCATGCTTAAAAGAATGTATTCTGCAGCCTTTCTTTTTAATCTTTGAGCTCTTGCATTCCTCCGTAATGATCTCTGTGATAATCTTCTTAGGATGTGGTGTGAATACCTTGTTTAGGGCTAAGCCTTCAACCACCATTTATTCTCAGCACCCTGTCCAGCCACAAATTCTGTGTTTGCTTATATTCACTGCAAAGATAGGCTTCTCTAATTTGGGCAAAAAGTATCCTTTGTGAGTATAAACATGGATGTATAGAAGGCAGCTTGATGTTATGCTTGTTTAACTAAGCTACAGTGTAGTAGGCTTCCCCGCTGGTGCCTAAGACCTCCTCAGTCACAATTACTTGACTGGGTGTGAAGTACCAGGGATGGATTACCTCTCATGGAGTGGGCCTAAAATTCAAACAGAGAGTTGTTGGTTACTCGTATATCATTCATACCATTATTGTACCAGTGAGCATATCTTACCCGACATGTTGGCAGTGTAGTTCATAGAGTTCACAGCTGGGTAAAACCATTAGTGCCTTTCTTTACTCCCTGCAGCACCCTGTGTAGCACTGTTTGACACTACCTGAACAGTAGACAACATGGAGGAGGCTTCCAGCTCAGTGGTTGTTTGCTTTGTATGTATTTGCATTCAAGTGTGGTACCTTCACAGAGGTATCCCACACCTGAAGCTGAAAAGTTTGTTTAGAGGCCCATTGCTTCTGGGACTGACATTATCTATCTATGGGAGGCATCTGTCAAAGAATTCTTTTATGTCTTTTAAATTGGATTACAAGGTAACAAAGAAAGCAAGTTTCTAGGTGGCTTTTCATATCCCCTTCATTTTGGCTAACCACTCTCTATTCTCCCATCATCTATCCCTCACACTGATTAAATCTTCCCACCTCCAGTAACCTCCCTACCCACCCACATTTTACCTATGTGTTACTGTCTCCCTTTCCTTTGGGTATTCTCCCACAACTTCCCTCTTTCTAAACTCTGGAAGCCTGGGGGATATAGAAAATGTAATGGCACACTCTGGTTGTGTTAGACATGACTGATCCATGGGTTTGTCGGTTTCAGGGCTGTAGTTGTCTATACTGTACCAAGCATCTCTGTAACATGGGGCCTAACTTGCCTCCCTTCTCCTCCCTGCCGCTGCTGTCCCTCTCCAGTGCCTTGGTTACCGAGTACAGCATTTAAATGCTTGCTTTTCACTTTGTCACACAGATTAACTACAAGGCTGTTGGCTCACTGGATCCAAACGCCGACCTGTCCAGCCAGAGGGGAAAAGTGTTCAAACTCCGGAATGAAACCCACCACCTCTTTGTGGGTCTGTACCCAGGAACCACATACTCCTTCACCATCAAGGCCAGCACAGCCAAGGGCTTTGGACCCCCTGTCACCACTCGGATTGCCACCAAGATCTCAGGTATCTCTTTTAGAAAGAGAAATGGGGTGGGTTGTACTACTGCCTCCTTCAGCCTTTATAATTTCCTGGAGTAAAAAGAGACAGAATAGACCCTCACTGATGGCAAGTGAACAATTTAGACAACGATGTCACTATTGGGTCGAAGAAAGTCCAATTGGTAAACTTTCTGAAGTTCACCAAGTAGCATGCCCTGGGGTGGAAGGAGAGAGAGAGAGACAGAGAGAGAATGTATGTATGTGAGAGAGAATGTGGGGGAGCACATAAAATGGTTTGTAAATTTGTTTTCCAAATAGAAAACTTTCCAGTATAAGACAGCCACAGCGTTGCCTCTCATGAAATACTGGATGGGTGGATGGATGGATGGATGAATGGATGGATGACTAAGTTGTGGTAGCCCAAGATTGCAAACTGTCTCTACCTGTAGGGTGCACCACACTGCCTGAGAGCAGAAAGAACCGCTGCAGAATGCTTATTTACAGCTTCCATATTTTGGAATATCTATTCAGTCTGATCTGCATGCATATGTATTTTGCATGTGGTTTTACAGAAGCCATGTTTTTTTTTGTAGCTTAATGTTTCCACTTATCCTCATCCCATAAGTATTTCCCACACTGCTGCGTAGCTTTCATTATAATGTCTGTCAACTGGATGGACGTAATTTAATTAAACAGTCCCTTGTGGTTGAATATATTTGGTGTTTTTACGTTTTTATAAAATAGCGCTTCAATAAACATGTTACAAAATAAAGTTTAAATCGTTGATTGGGATTATAACTTCAGGATTAAATTCAGAAATTGAAAAAAAA